GCAGGAAATGTTACCTTCACCTCTTTAACCACCCAAGACACTTTGTTCTGAACCTCTTTCTTTTATGTGAAGAAACTCTAAGACTGACTTACTGTACAGGCGTCATTTTGACCCTAATCACACTACTAAGTCTTCCTCAGTATCAAATAGATAAACCATTGGCATCACCACCTGGAATTTGTTCAAAAGCAATTCTATCTTTCAATGCTCCTGGAAGCAGGGATTCCAATGCCAGAAGATCTGGAGCTGTAGTGAGGGAACCAGACCATTGGGCAAGCCAGGATACTTGAAAGCACTGTGTTCCTATAGCTGTTTACTCAACACTACTATGTACTGGAATAAGGAGAATTAAAGATTTACTGAGTAGGGGACTCAGGTTGATATTGCTATCTGGGGACCCAAAGATTCATAGCTCCTTGTTAAAATGCAGACAGAGGGTGAGATAGAAAAGGGACTTCGAGCTGATGTCTGGCTGACAAGTAGTCCAATGGGTCAATGGACTCACCCAGAAGTTATTCCCCCTGAGTGTATAACAGAATGACATACTTATTTAGAATAAGCTCCACATTGGGTCCTTGCTGTGTCCATGCAGAATTAACATGGGAGAGCTTCTGAAACTGTCCCTACCCCAATTGAGAGTATAATAAAAACTTCTGCATCCCAATGGGGGTGGCTAAGGTCAATGGCATTGAGTATCCAGCAAACAGGATTGGTGACCCTTGTCTCAGTTTGGCTCTAGTTTCCATCCTATGGGGGAACTCCCTCGGTAGTGGAGTATGATTAGACTACAAAGATCCACTAGGTATTAAGTCCTGGGTCACCACATGAAGATGACCAGATATGCTACCTGAAACTTATTTTGTATGAAGGACAAAGGGCCCAAGGTGAGAAGGTAAAGGCACACCTGGGTGTGTCCCAAACCCCTCATCAGTCAGCACCTTCGAAGGGAGAAGACAGCCCAGAGACAGAAGTAGGTAGATTGATGTGGATGGTTTTAATGAGGGTGACTACGTGTAAAGTTTTGTATCAGACAGTAACAGCCACAAAGAAGGATCCATTGGAAAAGACTCCATAGATTTCCATAGTTCTGTCAGGCTGAGATTGCACTGCAGAGACTGAGTACACTAAGAATTGTCCTATCTAATCGTTTCCCATCCAGTTCCTTTCCTCAGGAGTTACTCCTATGAAATGTAAAAACAATAAAGATTTCACCGCAGGTTTCTTTGCTTCCCTAACTCACAGACAGGCATAACCCACATTCAAGCTCCATATTTTACCTCCAATACACCCAAACTAACTCTACAGTGGAAGTTCCTACTCCTGCTAGGGCTGGATGCTTTTGAATGGGTGTAGCAGTCAGCTCTTCCTAGACCATAGACAATACAACACAGAAGAGAATCCAAGAGACTTTTCTTCTCACCTCTAGGGTGAGTAAATTGGCTACAGCTTGGTCAAATTCCACATATTTTCCTAAAATCCATCCTAATCAAATTTTAGAGCACTTAGACTCTTAAGTAGTCTCTCCTCACCTTCAGATTTTACCACTTCTTCCAGGATAGCAGAAAGTCTTCCGTAGTTTTCAATTGTCTTAGCCATTCAACGTTCTTTCCCAGACTTAGCTACAGCAGAAGAATTTGTTGGAATATGACAGGCTTTCAGAGACTCTAGAACTCAACCTCTTTGAAAACTCACCAGAAAAGCAGACAAGAAGTCACCCTGGGCTTTTCCAGGGTTTTTCTTTTTTCTTAAAAACAAAACACAACGAAGTTTTTGCTATAGGGTGGTGTGGTGCGCTCGCCAGAAAGACAGAGGAACAGAGAGACAGAAAGCAAGAAATCACTCCCCGGGGGGGAATGGCCACACCGCAGTCCCTTCTCCTCTCGGGATCCTGGGCATGCATGCACACACGCCCAGCATGAGTTTAAGCCACTGGGTCCAGGATTCGAACCACAGTCAACTACGTGGGAGTCCAGCAACATAGCCATTACACCAACTGCTGGTCTCTCCAGGTTTCTTCAATCCCATTTCAAAATAGGACCTCATGTCCACCAAGCCATCACATCAGTGAAATTAGATCATTTTGTGATCCTCAGGCTTGTTCATCGACCAAAGCAAAGATTCCTCTCACTTCATGCTTCTTGGGGCGTTCAAGTCTCTTCTACCACCTAGTTAAGTAAGATGGTACCCAAATTTGACACCAAGCCTTTGACAAAGACAGTGTAATGAAGAGTTTAGGCTAAAGCTGAGGTCTACTGCAATATTGCCTTGAAAATTACTTTAAAATAAAAAAAGACAAGACAAAAGCCAGGGTTCATTGCGGTGGTACAGGTGGTAAGGTGCTGTGGCACAATAATGGAGCCACATGGGAAGCCAGGGCCCGGGTCATGGGTCTACTTGAACACACTAGCTACACCATGATCCTGACTGGGAAGCGGGAAAAACGACCACCGTGTGTCAAGACCCTGTCAATGGTCTCTTTCCATTCTTTCTCATGAAAGAAGATAGTATTAAGAAGCCAGCCTTAATTCCGTTCTAGTTTCCAGCCACCATTTCTTTCCCCTTTCCACAGTGTTGTGCATTGCTGTTGAAGGAGCACTGTGCCGTGAGCCAAGTCTCTACTCCTTCAAGCTATGTGACCAGCTCCTCAAGAGACAGGGCCTGCTTCCAGAGTATACCAGCTAAGGAGGAACTAGAGTTGTCTCCAGACCAGTTTCACAAAACTCACAAACTCCACAAGACTTTTTAATAGCCAGTCACCAACTCCAGTCACCAGCCTTGTGACCACAGCCAGGTACAGTTCTTATCTTCTAGCTTGGGAGTTGGGTAGAGGAGAAATAGCATTGATAACCTTGGGCCACCACAGCTGTCACCTATAAACTATTAAAGGATCAATTCCCTGGAGGAAGAAGTACCCAGCTATTCAAACAAATTAGATGCCAGAGTGGACTGTTTTTCAGCTGCTTTATGGATTGGAAGATTCAGAAACAGTGAAGGTCCAAGCTCCCCGAAAGCATTTGCTCAAATTCCATTCCCCCATCCTATCCAAGACCTGGACTTTGGGGTGTACTGAAACAGCAGCCTGGAGCCATAGACCCAGAGTGTGATCAGTCCTGCTTAACTAAGCTTAAACTTCCCACAAGAGCAAAGAGTCGGCCTAGATGAGGGTGACCTGAGAATTTGAAACAGTTAACTCTGACCACACCTACAAGCTTCAAGTGTCTCCCATGTGGGAAACGGATTCTAAGAACTCTAATGGGTAAGCATTTTTCATAAGTAGTATTATCTTTAGACACTTTCAAATTGTTTCCCAATACCTTGGGCTCCCTGGAACAATAGGTCTAAGTTCTGCTTACATCCTCCTCTAACCACACCTAAAATGGACTTTTTTACTTGGCTATATCAAGACTCCACAAAGAGTCAAAAGCCTCTCACTTGGCTAAAGCATGTAATACCAGCTCCCTGAATGCAGATTGATGGGAAAGGGGTCTTGATAGTCAGGTCATGTCACCTTTAACAAATTCCTCCAAAGCAACTAGCAATAGCCTTTCCCAGCCGGAGAAGTTTTAGTTCACCTGGTACTAGTATCTGTCACTTAATTGTCACCTTTTTCCATTTAACTTGAGACTTTTCCATTGCTTAGTGCTCCTCTGAGCTGCTTGTTACAAGAATGAAAATAGTTGTCTTCAACTAAGGGAAGTTGCAGGTACCTTGTGTTACAGAGACAGCTATGGCCAGTCCCCTAGTGTGACCCCTGGCCTCTGGCATTGAGAGGCTCCAGGCAGAATCCTGAAGAATGAATAGAACCTAAAGTGCTCTTGGCACAAGTGGGGAATTTCAATTAAGCCCACCCTAACATAGTCGAGTTTTGAGCTAAGGAGCCGAGTCTCAGGTAAGCTGTAGAGGACATAACAGATTGAGCTGGGTGGAACCCCGTGGCCAGAGAATAGTATGCGTACCAGGCCAAAGCTCAGAGCAGCAGCCACACAGAAGCAGACGTGGGTATGGCCAGATTTCCACTGACACAGAATGCTGCAGTGTTCCAATACTGACGCTTAGAGAAGCTCGTCTTTTCAGCCCTTCCCACACGCCACATATGGTTCTAGTGGTCAAAATTGTCTCCTCCAAAGCTACCATCGTATTGCAATTGGAGATCTAGAATCACATGGCTCTCAGTCCTACAATGACACCAAAATTTCTGAAGCCAGTTTCACAGGACTCACTTTGGTTGAGCCTGTGATTGGGTAACTAGTAGAGGGAACTTATTTTACCCTGCATTGGGTGAGAAAGGTGAACTTGGTTCGTCTCCGCTATTCTCAACGGAGAGATGTCTTTACTAAATAATCTTCTGGATATTTATACACGTGAAGTGACACATCAATTGATTTTTCTACTTTCCTTGTTTTCTAAAGTGATTAACAAAAGTTGTCGAAACGGGTAGAGGGCTAGTGATTCAAAGCAGCCGTGTTAGGTACTTAATATTAGAATCCACATGGACATCTGACTAAGTTGATGGATGACAGAATTAAGTCACCTGTAGATCAGTTTCTGGGATTCTTACAGCAGAGAAACTTTGCTGTCAGTAAGACTGACCTGCTTAGAACTCTGCAGGATTATGTACCAGAAAGCAGGTTTTCTGCGTTAAACAGGCATAGAGAAGAGAAGCCATGCATGACTGTCCAGATCTTCACCCTGCTGAAACACCCCACTACTCAAACACCCCATCACTACTTAGTATCTTCACTAGCAACAAGACTCGGAGAAGCTGGGCCTTCAAGATCCCAGATTAATCAGTCAAGTGCTTTGACAGCCTGGAACACTCTGGACTAGATTTTCCGTGTGAAGGCAAGAACCCTTCTCTGTGTCCTGCTTCCCTCCCTATGGACAGTGGAAAGGGGGATGAGGGGGCACAGTGCTGCTGTCCCTACTCCTGTGCTTGTTCACTTTTAGGCTTGTTTTCTTGAAGCAGGTGTCTAGGCAGCATGATGAGAAAAATTATATAACCGATACCAAAACTGCAATATTAAACTGTGAGGTCGTCACAATCAAGACAACACATCATAAGTTCAAGAGCCTGTCATTAAGATGCCGATTCCGCACCATTCCCATAACAGGTGGAGTTTTGTCTTTCCTGATAAGCCCCAGGAAACTTCCCAATCCTTCCCTAATGGCCATCTAGCTAGCTAGATTAAATTTCCTCAGTATCCCAACCACAAGAACTTCTGCTGAGCAGTCACCTATCGGGAAAGTACTTCCAGGTCAGTCAACACTGAAGCACTTAAGATGAGGTTATTCATCCCCCCTAGCTCCACATCCAGGTGAAAGGTGAGCTTCAGCCCACAGGCGTTAATACCTTCAATCAGTCAGCTAAGGAAAGTGATTAAAACCTCAACTTCTTGGTGAGGGGGTTCAGAGCCACAGGACGTTTGAAGTTTGCTTCAGCTCTATTCTCTCACAAAGGACATTTCCTTCCCTCGAAGGACTCTAGTTTTTAAAAACAACCTATGTTTTCCTCCCATGGTTTTCCTCCAAGTCTCTGCCAAGACTGAAAATCTAGCTTTTGATCACTTTCTGCCTTTAGAATGCCTTTTAGACAGGTGTCTTAATGTGGCAGAATGTACATGAGTTCATGAGCTTGTTGGAGATGGGAAGCGAGAGAAAACTCCTTCATGGGGGATGGTCATGCCAGTCCCTTCATTCACTCACTCTTTTCAGGACTTTAGGCATGCACGCCCATATAACCGGCCTGCTTCTCAAGTCACTGGGTCCAAAATTAGAAGCAGGCAATTGGCCACGTGGAATCTAGCCATCTTCTCCACGCCACTAGACTGGCCCTAGACAGGTGTCTCTTTAACAAGAGGTTTTACAAATCCAATCAAAGCTAAGAGAAATCACTGAGAAACTGCTCAAGACAGATCCGAGCTTACTTTAGACTTAGAGCCTTTAAACCTATTTAACTATTTTGAAGAGAGGTTATACAATGTAAGTCAACAAAGAAAATAGTTTCATTGTGGTGTATTTTGTACAAGGTTAAAAGGAAGCCAATAGAAAAAAAGCCACTGCTCAGAAAGTAAGACTTCCACATGAGAAATCTAAAATCTGACGTTAAGCTTCTACAAGAACTCTTTAAAAACCCCAGAACAGTTTCTCCTCTATAGTTTGAAGATGTGCCTGATGACTTCAGAAAGTTGCTTCAACCTGAGAAGCATTTTCTGTTTACACAGGTGTACTGGTTCCCCTCCTTTGTCATTCTTAATCTGTTTTTTTTTTTAAGAATTTTAATTTATATTTTTAATTTGACCAGAGGGAGAGAGAAAGAGAGGTAAAGTGAGGAAGCAAACCACCAGGTCCGGTACTCAAACCATAGCCAGCCAGGTGTGAGTCTAATGCCCCAACTACGATGCCACCTGCTGGCCCCTTCCCTTGCTTTTTTTAATCTTTCACTTCTGAAGGAAGCTAACCAAAATCTTCCTTAAGATCTCCCAGAAGGTTGATCTTTGCCACCCACCCACCACCACTAACCATCAAAGATCCTTTCGGAGCATAGTATCCCTGTAGAACTTGGACTACATTCGCCCAGAACATTCCCCTCCACCCCATCAGAGCAGTCCTTAGGCTTGTTGGACTCCCTCCTTTTTATACTGAAAACCCCGCCTTCTCCTGAGACGCAGACCAATAGGGAGCCTAAGAGCTACTTCAGCTACAATTGACCTCTGACTGCTGACAGGTGAAAGCAGGCCTCCAGATATTTCAGGGCTTTCTCCTTAGGCTTCCTACTTTAAAGTGGCATAGCTCCCCTCCCTGCGTTTTTACTGCATTGTAAAGATCACCAAGTTGTTCCAAATGTATTTTGAGGGAATAATTTTTAAGTTACCTTCAAAAAGCAGCTGAATCCACTTCCCCTCCAGCACTTAGTCTCCATGTAGAAAATGTTTAACCTGACCTACAGAATTTGGGGAGGAGTATTGACCAAATGGTCAGCCACTGGTATTAGAGTAAAATATCCTTACCCTCCCAACTGCTTCCACTACCTTCAAGGTTCACTCTCTAGATCACTACAGCTGGAGAGCGCTTTCTAAAACACAAAACTGTCCCTGGATCCACATCATCTTCAAGCTGAACACAAAACTTAGCCAAGGCTAAATAAATAAATAACAGAAAACAAGGCCATTATTTGCAGGCCCAGTCAGTGGTCATTCAGAACCCATTGCTCTGGCCCATTCCATTGGTCCTGCCTCTGGCATTTCTCCAATGCTCTTCCCTCTGCTAGTACATCCTCCTCACTAGTCACCCTCCCCACCCACCTGCCTAATTCCCACTCATCTTGCAAAAGTAAATGTAAATTTTGTCTTCTTCAGAAAACATTTCTCTACTAGATTCCTGTCTTAGTCCATTTGGGGTGCTATAACAAAATTCCACAGACTGGATGGTTATAAACCACAGTAACTTATTTCTCATAGTTCCAGACACCAGGAAGCCCAAGGTCAAGAAACCAGCAGATTCAGTGTCTGGTGAGGGCTCGCTTTCTAGTTCATAGAAGGTTCCTCCTCCTTGTATCAGCACATGGTAGAAGGGGCCAGGCAGCTCTCTGGAGCCTCTTTTATAAGGGCATGAATCCATTCAGGAGAGCTCCACCCTCATGATTTAAGCACCTCCCAAAGTTCCCTCCTCCTAATACCATCACTTTTTTCTCTAAATCTTAAGTCAGTGGCAAAACAGAGACCAGTAGCCAGTGTGCTGTTCAAAACATTGACTGTTGCATGAATTGTTGGGGGTACAAATAACATGGTTACAGCAGTCCTGCTTCCAAGTTCATCTGGACATCTATTTCATCTGTGGATCTGATAAATATTTCTCACTCCCGTAAGAAGTATAGTAACCTTTGAGAGATGAATATTCAAAACTACTCAGTTCCTACAAATGATGGGAGGTGAATGAAGGATGGAATAGCAAGCAACAGCACTTGAGAACATTTCCCAATTCCTCTTGCCAACTTCGTAACCCATGGGTCTGTTACTTCAGGTTGTAACTCTTCCTATAGAACCCTAGGAACATGCCAACTTCCAGCCATGTTGAAACAAAAGCAGGCACCTGGTCATACGTGAGAAGGAACCCTGGCAGGACCAGCAGTTAGCATAATGGCTATGTCGCTGAACTCCCATGTAGCCAACTGCGGTTTCAGTCCCAGACTCGGTGGCTTAAACTCATGCTGGGCGCATGTGCGTGTGTGCCCAAGATCCCTAGAGGAAAATGGAGAAGGGATTGCGGCGTGGCCATCCCCCCATGGGGTGATTTCTCACTTTCTATCTCTCTGTCTCTCTGTGTCTCTCTGGTGAGCACATGCGCCCTATAGCAAAAACCTCTCAAAAAAGGAAGAAGGAACCCTGGGAATATATAATTCCAGGTATTCAGGTTGGTAAACATCAAGGAAGAGCCCTGGGAATCATGGTTAGGATTCTGAATACCTATTAGAGGAAACTTCCATGACCAGACAAGGTTATAACCCATTCACCAAAGTCTTGGGTCCCTAGATAATATCAAATAACAACTGGACGTCATCTATTACCCTCAGATGACTAAGGGGATGGATGGCTTATTTGTGTGACAGGAGTATAGCAGATATTCCTTTCAGCCTGCTAAGTGTTGTATAAAACCAAGAGGACACTGCTGTGGTTTGGGTGCTCCTCAAAAACTGTACGTTGCAAGTTGGTTATATTGCAAAGGTATTTAATAAGAAAGGAGACTCAATTTAATTTGAAAGAAAGTGCATCTCTCCATGGTGTCCCAGAATGTGGCATTCGGGAGTGACTGACTTTTTAGGATGTGGCTCTCATGACTGAGTTCCTGGAGAGGAAGAGGAGAGGAGATGAGAGGGGATGAGATGAGATGAGATGAGACCAGAACACAGAGAATTCCAGACAGATGTCCTGCCCACTGCCATATCGTGATGCGGTCTCAGCAGAAGTTGGCCCCCACACCTGGTATCTCCAAACTATGAGTTGAACAAAGCTCTAACCTTACGAGTACTCAGTTTAGTATTTTCTGTTATTAATGATAGAACAGACCAGAACAGATACCAATGAATTTCCTGGAGCAGGAGCCCTCTGCCTGTGGCTAAGTTTAGGCATTAATGTCCAGACTGGTTCTGTCCTAGTAGGGAAAAGAGCATGTTGTAAGAATTGTCTTCACCATTAAGTTTCAGGTCTGTGGACAATATCTCTGATCTTATTGTCTACTGAATTAATCCTGTTACGTTTCCACTCAGGATCATGCTTGGCGTTTGCAACCTCACCTTAGACAGGCAGTGTTTATTGCTGGAATGGTGGCCAAAGCTTAGTTTGAAGGAAACACTGATATTTTCCTGTAAGGCTGGCTCGAAGGAACTATTGGTTTTTATTCTGTGATCTGAATTCTTTCACTTCATCCTTGGTAAATAAAACAGAGAGGCCAAGTTTTGCCTGTTTTCCCTATAAAAACAGTAACTCCAAGATGACTAAGTCAACCTGAGAAGACTCTGAGTTGCAGGACACTGTTCCCAGGAAGGGTTGGGTACTATGTCTCTCTGATCAACTGAAGGAAATGCTGATGCATTCAGGTTTCCATCCTCTGTCATTAGACACAAGATCCCAAGTGTCGGGAACCAGCAGTTAGCGTAATGGCTATGTCGCTGGATTCCCACGTAGTCGACCGCGGTTCGTGTCCCGGACCCGGTGGCTTAAAACTCACGCCGGGCGCGTGTGCGTGCGTGCCCAAGATCCCGAGAGGAGAATGGAGGAGAAGGGATTGCGGCGTGACCATCCCCTCTGGGGGGTGATTTCTCGCTTTCTGTCTCTCTGTCTCTGTCTGTCTGTCTGGCGAGCGCATGTGCCCTATAGCGAAAACCTCTCAAAAAAAAAAAAAAAAAGATCCCAAGTGTCAGCATCTAAGTCTGTCTTTCTGTTGAGTGTCTGCACCCTATAGAAAAAAAAGAAAAAAAAAAAACTCTCTCAAAAAAAAAATTTAATTAATTCCATTTGTTATTATTATTTTTTAATTATTTATTTTAATTTATTATTTTGGCCAGAGAGAGACAGACAGAGAGAGAAAGGGAATGCGAGAAAGCAAGCTGGCAGGTTCAGGACTCAAACCATGGTTGGCGAGGTGGGAATCCAGTGCCTTTAACCACCACGCCACCTGCCAGCCCTGGCATTGCAATTTTTAATAACTTATTTTTATTGCATTTTACCCACTATGGCTCCATGTCCGATCAGAACCAAACTGATCCTTCACCAGATAGCCTGAGAGCATGTGTCTTGGTCATTCCAAGCTTCTAACTCATTGAATTAAAA